TACTAGCCCCGAAGACGCTCGCGGTGGGGCGCCTATGGGTGCATATGGACGACCGGGAAGGTGACGTACTGGTTGGAGTCAAACCTTGCGCCCAAAACATGTGCGGTCTCAGCGAGGCAGCGCAGCACCATGGCGCCTGGGCGTCTGGGCCTTGCAGCACTTGCTCTGAGGGCACGATTGTTGCGCCAGACGCCGCCCCGTCTTGACTCTTTTCTCCCACTTGCACATCCTCGACGATCCCTCGTTGAGGGCCTCGCTCGCGCACCCACAACGCCGGACGGCCCCTGGCCCGCTCTGGTGGAGTCCATCTTCGCCCTCTGATCTCGGCGAGCGTCCAGAGGGTGCGCCCCAGAACAGCCCATGCAGGAAGCCGTCACGAAATGGCGCGTTTCTGTCTGATTTCTCGATGGAGCCGTGGATGGACGGACGCTGGCGAGCGTCGTACGACCTCGTACGATACAACCGGTCGGCGGTATGCGTTGACTTGCTAACCGCGATATTACATAGCGCGCGGCACGTAAGGCGGGCTTTCGGTCTAGCCGCCCGGAGGCCCGCGACTAGGCGTTCGGGATGAAGACGGACGTTGTTGCCCCAAGAAGCTCTCGCCGGGCTGGTGCTCGAATCGCGAACCCGTGGACGTTCGTAGGGCCTGTCACGGTCGCATTAAGGGCGGAGAACATGAGGGTGCTCGAAGCTCGAGGCGGGGCGGGAGGGGTGGGGTGGTGTGGGTCGATGGGCCCAGGCGGGGAAACTGCGGGCGAAGAGCCGAGGGAGATAAGATTAGATCTGGGTGGATCTAATCTACCACAGGGGCATCGCTTCTGGGGCGGTGTCGAAAATGAGTGAGTGGAACGACTTTTGGGTGCGCGCGCTTGAATATAAGCATAAGACGGCGCGGGCGTTCGGCGCGTTTCTCTCCAGCCACTACCGCTCGCTCGCCTGGGCTCAGTCTCTTCCGTCCTGAACATTATCCCTTGCATCTCCTAGCGTCCCCTGCACCTCGCCATGGATATTGTTCTCCATCTCGCGGACGAGTGGGTTCTCGACAAGGCGTGGGCAACCCTTCTCCCGATCTCAGCGTTCACAACCGCCTCCACGAATACGCCCGGCCTCTACAACTCTTCTCACGCCCCCTTCCTCCCCTCCCACTCCTCCGCCTGGTCACAGCTAATCTCATACATTCCCCATCCCCCGCTTCCAGATGAGCTGCTTACCTCACCTTTTGTCTCCTCCGAGACCATTGCTTCTGCTTGGCCTCGCGATTATCTGCCACGACAAGCCCTCTCACTGCTCACCATCACCTTTGTCGGCATCCATATCCTCTACTTCCTTTTCGCCGGGCTTTCCTACCAGTACATCTTTGACCATGAGATGATGAAGCACCCACGCTTCCTAAAAAACCAGGTCAAGCTCGAGATCCAAATGAGCATGCAGGCGTTCCCCGGAATGATCCTCCTCACTCTACCGTGGTTCCTTGCGGAGGTCCGGGGCTATTCGAAAATGTACGACAACGTCGACGAGTACGGTTGGCTATACCTGGTCGCCTCCATATTCCTGTAAGCATCTATAGACCTATCTATGCGCTGACGTTTCCTGACGCGTCGACCGCTAGTTTCCTTGTCTTCACGGACTATCTCATCTACTGGGTTCACCGATGGGAGCACCATCCCATTTGCTACAAGTGGTTGCATAAGCCCCACCACAAGTGGATCAGTACGTTGCTTTCCTCAGTTTCTCTGTGCGCATTGCTCATAGTTCGTTCTTGTTCAGTCCCCACCCCTTTCGCGTCGCACGCGTTCCACCCGCTTGACGGCTACCTGCAGTCCGTGCCGTACCACATCTTCCCCTACGTGTTCCCTCTCCACCGAAAACTCTTCCTTGGCCTATTCGTTTTTGTCAACTTCTGGTCCATCCTGATCCATGACTCGGATATGATCACCGGCCACCCCCTGGAGAAGGTCATCAACGGGCCTGCGCACCACACCCTGCACCATATCTACTTCACAGTGAACTACGGCCAGGTACGTCTATTCTCGTTACCCGCGATGCCCGCTCGCGTTCGTCCAGCTGACGCGTTCCTGCAGTACTTCACGTGGGCAGACCGCATGGGCAAGTCATATCGACAGCCGAAGTCGGAGTACGACCCGATGGCCGAGGTCAAGGCCGCCGAGGCAAAGCGCACCAAGCTCGCGCTCGGAAAAGACCAATGAGCGTACCCCTCCGCTCCCTCTCGACCCGCCCCTCCCCCCCACTCCTCCCTCACCTCCGCTCCCCGGGCCCCTCCGTCGCGCTTTCCTCTCGGTCCACCCGCATATTATCACTTTATATGGATGTTTATTACGACGCACGCCACGACTCCGACCAAATGTACATTACTACAACCGCGTCCCCGCGCGCGCGCGCCTGCCAGCCAGTGCGGCACGCAGCCGCCGCCCGGGGGCGCACCATAGATACTTGTAGGGGGATAGATCTGCTAATTGTCAGCGCTGTTCGCGGAGAGGCGCTCTATATACCACCAGCTGCGCTAATGCATGCATGGCATGTTCGTCTGTAGTAGGGGGAACGTACGAAATATAATCGCTGTCCTCTGATCTGGTGTGGGCGCGCGTGGGTGTGCGCGTATGTGGTGATCGTGACCGTGCTGAACGCTCAGTGAGGCATATGCATGATCTGCATGTTTACGCAGACGCGAGTCGACGAGGTGTCTTGCTGGGGATCGACGCCAGTCGATGGGGGCTTGGACGACCTGACAGCGACTGCTACGCATACGGGATTCGTCTGACGGCATTCCATGGACAGAGCAACGATCGCACTGCGCATCGGGCCAACTCCTGACGCAGACGCGCTCAAGGCTCGGGGACAAAGTACAGCACAGCGGATCGACTCTGTCTTTACAGCGACGGACAAACAAAACACGAACGCGAGTATCATACGAGCATCGAGCACCGAGTCTCCACCACCCCAAGCCCACGTTTTTTCTCCGCCCCCCCCCCACCCCTAAGCTACGTGCTCCTTGTACGCGTGCCAGGCGCGCGCATCCCACGTCACCATGCATCAACCCGCGAGCACGTTCACGCGCGCCGTACTTTGCGACAGCACGCCGCGCGGCAGCAGCCGCGACCACGCACCGATAGCAAGCACGCCGCACGCCGCTCACCGCTTCGTGGGCTTGCGCTTGACCTCCTCGTCCTTGCACGCGTGCAGCATGAGCTTGTTCGGGTGGCCGGGCGTCATGCCCGAGTGGCCCTTGGACCAGTCGTACGAGAGCGCGTACGCGAAGATCGTGCCGGAGCGGTTGAACGCCGTGCACGCCACGGGCGCGGGCGCGGGCTCGAACGCTGTGCGGCCCGCGGGGGGTCAGTAGTGACCGAGAGTGACGGGGACGGGTGATGGAGGGGGGGAGAGAGAGGGACGCACATTTCAGGCGCGTGCGGGCGTCCTTGTCCCAGAAGTTGATGGTGCCGTCGGATCCTGCGGAGGGGGGGATCGTGAGCGGGTGAGAACGGCAGTGGCGGGGGCTGGCTTACCGCAGGTGGAGAAGGTGCCGTGTACGGGATGGAAGGATATGTCGTTGACCGCGTAGACCAGAGACTGGTCTTTGGAGTTCGGTTGCTGGTCGCGGCGGTGGCACTTGAATGAAAAGTTGTTGCTTTATGGGTCCAGGCGTCTGAATGTTGGGTCTCATGGAATTGTGGGGAATGAACTTACGAGGCATCCTTCTCTTCTACATACCTGTTCGTAGGCAGGAATGGTGAGCCAAAGACAGCAGGTATACGCCGTGAACACTCACTGGATAGCGACACGCCCCTCGATACTGCCTACTGCGAAACCGTTCGCCGAGGGGAAGCAAGACACTACGCGCGTCTGCCACTTCAAAGGAGAGACAAGCGTCTAGAAGGACGAAGTCAGATGACATCCCTCCGGCGCCCACTGTGCTGCGTACAGACCTTGAAAGGAGAAGTGGGATTGGCGAGGTTGAACACTTGGATATGTCGCTCAGCAGTGCCGACGACCATGAGGGGGTATGCAACATCCATTGTGTAGCACCGATCTGGGAGTTGCACGGTGGACACGGGGTTTGGCGTCCGTAGATCCCAGTACTATTGGGAACAACCATGTCGGTTCTACAGAGTCCGCGGAGAGGGCGGGCGACTGACCTTGATAGTTTTGTCCCAGCTGCCCGTGGCAAGAACGCTTCCCTGTGGCGACTCGATCCATCGCACAACGCGGATCGGCGCGTCGTGCTGGGCGACCTGAGAAGACTGGCCCGTGGTCACGTCGAACATGCGCCCTGCGTTGTCCGCGCCACCCGAGAGAATCTTCGACCCATCCTGTGAGGGTGAAGGACGCGTGCCACAGAGTGTAAGTGAGCTTCCTGCCTCCAGGGTCGCCGTCCTTGCCACGCACCTTGTTCCAGCAAACACTCAACACGGGCCCCTGGTGTGGGTACATCGCCTTCCCTTGCGTTTGCCCGCTTGCGCCAACTTCGTATATGCGAACCTAGCCACAGACGCGATGAGGCGTAAGTATAAGCCCAAACAAGAGCGAAAACGCGTTTATGCACGAGCGTCACGCACATTATTATCCCAGGAGCCGACTGCGAGATAGTCGGCGGTGGGAGAGAACGAGAGGGCGGAGATAGAGTCCGTCGGAGGATCTGCGACTTCGATATCTTTGTCTGCAGCGTTGTTATTGACAAGGGTGCTTGACGTCGAGGACGAGAAGAAAGACATTCTGTCTCGCGCCGTAAAGCGTGGCCGGTGTGATGTCCGGAGTTGGAGGGTAGAAGGAAGAGAGGAGAGAAGGAGTTGAACAGAGCACGCGCGCTCAGCGGGGCCACATCTCTCAGCCACAACGCGTGACACACTTCCCGTTTTGGTATGCCCTCTCGTCACAGTAGGATCCTGGTCTACACAACAGGGTTTCAGTCGAAGGAGCCCTTATCATGAATTTGCACCAGCGAGACAAACGGATCGTTGGTACGACCAGGAGCGAAAAAGCGACCAACCCGAGAGTCGAACTCGGAATCTTCAGCTAGGGAATCACAAGATATGACCGGAAACTGACGCCTTAACCATTAGGCCAGCCGGCCGCTAGGAAGTCTCGTTTCGTTTTGTATTAAATGTTTGTACAGCTACGCGACCCTCCATCCGTCTTCAAACTGTTGTCGTTAACTGCTATAATCAAGAACCGTGGTATAGCGTGTGCAAGCAACAATTTTCGCAGTGTGACACAATAGGGGTTCCTGACGACCTAGAGATGAAGCAAGACCTCACCAAATCTTTACTCGTCGTACACGCGCACGTCCTGGCTTCACTGGACAGAATGTCAGCGAGAGGCTACAGCGGGACGGTTGCATTCTACAATCCGAGTGGTGACAATGAATCGGGTTCATTCAACAGTATGCGGTGGCATGAACATGAAGCAGGATATGAGACAGGGCAATCAAGTCGGAGCGCTCTCATAAGCAGAGAGACGCGACCTGGGACGTTCTTGGATGGCTAGGTCGAAAGACTCTGATGTGTATTGTATTCTTGATCATTAGAGTCGTGAGAGTGATGCCAGTGCCATTGGAGCTGCCGTCCCCCGACTGATCCAGAGCCGTTCAACGAAGTCTGGACAACGTGAGTTTTGTCGAGCGCATACCCAGCCGTGGGGCCGATGCGCATCAAGACTGGTATTACGTCCATCGTTCTGGCCTCAAGTGTTTTATCTTTTCTCTGGGGAACCTCGGGGTTATACTCCCATTAGCGGGAGAAAGGCCTGTCGCAACCGAAGTAGAGCAATGCGGATGGTGCACGCTACCATCGTGCCGTGAGCCTATGTGAATGCACCGTGGTCCGTTGGCGTCGAGGATCAGACAGCCTGAGGCCGCAGGCCCAGTGACAATGACTCTAGATCTGACACTGAGGCTGGCGTTGTAGACCTGTATTGACCTGTATTTATACTATATTAGAACACATGCTGTGGCGAATAACCGTCTGTAGAACTCCGAAAGGCTACTATAAGTGATGGGGATAAACGCCGATCTATCAGTCTTATAACAGGCGTCCCGACCCAAACGGCGCGCCACCGCGTCAAGTGCGAGGATTAATGCGACCGGGCGCATTCAACGCCTCTCTCTTCCCCCGCCCACCTCCTGTCCCTCAGCCCTCCGCAGACTCGGCTTGCCCTCGCGTCCATCCCGCCCGCCATCCAGCCGTTGTCCTTTGATGACGGCGTTCCTGTCGCTGGACGCGGCTGCCCCCTTCCCGTCGTCACCGTCGTTTCTCGTGCCCGCAGCGGATCCCAGCAGCCACCTCAAGCGGGTCATCAAGACCATCCTCAAGGCGCGCCGCATTGCAGTAGTATGCGGTGAGTGTCCCAGGATGCCTCTAGGCCCAAGCGATGCTTACATGACATGATACCTCAGGTGCGGGAATATCTGTCCGTGCTGGGATCCCAGATTTCAGGTCATCGCAAGGCCTTTTTCAAACCCTTAAGAAAGATCACCCGACGCTAAGCTCGGGCAAGGATCTCTTCGACGCTTCGGTATTTAGTGTGAGTGCTCATCCCAATTCGACTTGGTGGATATGCAGGCGGTCCAGAGTAGTGATGTCCATGCGGTGCTTCTTGACAACGACGACGAGGCACATACACCCCCTAAATTGCTTCCGAAATCGGCCCATGACGTGGTCCCCAGTCGCCGTGAACGAGCGCTGCGCTCGCGAAGGCAAAGGAGGACAGCCATTACATGCTCGATTACCCTTAAGGGGCCGCTCTCCTAGCAACCCGCGCGAAGTCGAAACAGATAAGCGGTCCCTCTCCGCGAGCTCCCTATATACCTAGTTGTTCTGGGAGAGTACATGCCGTTTTGCCAGGGGACTGATGCCAGCCTGCGGACTGAAGATATGTATAAATGTCCGAAAGGCCTGCGTTACATGCTCTCGACGGTATCACATCTACACTTGCTCATTCATAAATTGTTTACAGTCCGAAGAAACGACCGCCCTGTTCTGTCAGATGATCGCTCAATTGTCCCAGCTATCAGAAACCGCGGAACCTACCCCATTCCATCGCTTCCTACGCGTCCTGGACGAGCGGCGACGTCTCCTCCGGGTGTATACTCAGAATATCGATGCCCTTGAAGAGAAATCTGGGCTATCCTTCGGCGTGCCAGAGCTCGACAGTAAGCGATATAAATCCCGGGCGTCCAAAGGAAAGACGACTACTTCAACGGTAACGGTCGACCTTCCTGAAGAGCCCGTGGCAGGCCGGTTACCCTCTCCTCCTGCAGAGACACCTCGGTGTATTCCCCTTCACGGCACTCTACAATCGATGCACTGCCAGACCTGTCGACATTCGTACCCCCTGCGCGACTATATTGGCTCCCTGTCATCAGGTACTCCCCCACCATGTCCACAATGCACGGCCCTCGAGGAGACTCGGCAGCTTGTGGGCAAACGGTCCCGCGGAATTGGGAGACTGCGGCCGAGCGTCGTGCTATACAACGAAGACCACAAGGGCGGGGAAGAGGTGGGGGACGTCGTGCGTAAGGACCTCATCGGCAGCTCCAAGGGGAAGGGCCGCGCGGGTGCGGACCTACTTCTTGTCGTAGGTACCAGCTTGCGAGTTCCCGGGACGAAGCGCATCGTGCGCGAGTTCTCCAAGGCCGTTCGCTCGCGGTACGATGCGATGAATGCGCCACCCGAGGAAGCCGCGACGTCCTCCCACGGCCTCGCGACCCCTACGCCGTCTCCGCGCCGTTCGCCCGCCGAGGACGAGGAGCCCCCCGTACGAACCGTGTACCTCAATTTTGACTTCCCCGTGCCGACAAGAGAGTGGGAGAGCGTGTTCGACGTCTGGATAAAAGGAGACGCACAGAGCTTTGCGCAGATGGTGCACGACGAGCTGGAGAGGGAGGAGCGGGCAAAGGAGGCTGCGCAAGAGCGGAAAAGACGGAGAGAGGAGGCAGCGGCTGAATCAGCACGGCAAGCTGAGGAGAGGAAGACGGGCGAGGTCGTCGCTTCAAGTCAAATGTCGTCCTCGGTCAAGAAGGGCAAGAAGCGGAAGGAGCAGTCGCATTCAGAAAACGACGGCCACGCCCCTTCAGCGAAGAAGCGGAAAACAGGTGCACTTCCGCGATCGCCTGTCTCGCCCCCAAAGAAAGCTCGCAAGACGAAGGTGAATGAGACGAAGCACAAAGGACAGGCGGATAGCGGTCTTCCCACACCTCCGGTCTCTCGTGATGACTCCAAGCGACTGATTATCAAGCTCCCACCACGCTCACAGTTCATGGCTGGTGTGGTGATTGAGACCATCGCACCAAAGCCGACACGCCCTAGCATATCTATGGGACTGCCATCCTCGCCCCTGTCCTCGCCGCCAGCGTCTACAGGGGAATCTTCACCCCTGTTGCCGACAACTATATGCGCACCTCGGCATGCGCCTTCACCTATGTGTACCCCTCCGCGGCCATCTCGCCTTCATTCTCCACCCAGGATATCCCGCGCAAGGAGCGGAGTCACTCAGCTGTCCTCCCCGCTGTCTTCCGTCCCTTCCTCGCCATGCCTCGAAGACCCGCCTCCATACTGCGACGCTGGCTCCCCGTACCGAAGGGACATGTCGCCTCCCATGACCCCCTCGCCCGCGCGTAGTAAGCGCGCCGCCAGCGGGACTGGCAGCATGATCGGCGGATGGCTCGGCCGGAAACCGGGCGTAAGGCTGGCGCCGTATGGGCTTCGGTCTGGGACACCAGCCCGCGACGACGAAGATGAGATCGATGTGGTGGGCTTCAGTGACGACGAGTTGGACGCGCCGCCCTCCGACAGCCGCCTCCCCGAATCGTACGTCCGCACGGCGGTGCATTCCCAGCCGGCCCGCCGCCGGGGCCGCGTGCGATAACACAGATACACGGTGCACCCGCCACGACCGACTCCTTGCCCTCCATCGGCATCCTCCAGTTTCACCACCTCACTCTGTGTACTCTGTTTCCGAGCGCGCGATTTATTGTTATTTGTACGATCAGTGGTATGATACGAACGCGAGGCGTACTCTGCTCCGCCGCCCCCGACGGGCGTGTGCTGGACAGTCGTTGCTAGACGTACACGCCTCGACTAATCTATTCGATGGTTCGGTTCGTGCGGAGTGGTTCTCCTCATTGGTCGCCATCGAGCGACGGTTGGGGTGGCATACTCAAAGGCAAGTCTTCGAGACAAAGTTGGAGGTGAGTAGTATAAGATGATATCTCGCTAGGCGCGCGCGCGCACGACCAATGATGTATGATGACTTGTGATTCGAAGTGTCCAGGCCCAGTTTCGTAGACTGGGTTGAGGGCGCGTAGTTGAGAGCTCAGAAGATGCTCGTATTAATTGCCGTCCCCCTTGTAGAGGCCGATCTTCATGGGGAGGCACGCCTTCGCACCGTATCCTGCAACGGATGGATAACGTACCGCTCCGAGGTTCCAAAATACTCGTTGAGGAGACTTCTCGAATGTGAACTTGGACAGAAGGAGGGACAAGACGACCTCTGTCATGGCGTGAGCGGTGCAGAGCCCGAGTAAATGAGCTTGGACACTCACTCATTTCCATTTGCGAGAATTTGAAACCGCTGTGAAAGGATATGCGATAAGTTGAGTGAACGATCGTGGTGGACTTGACGTACATGCAAGAGCGGCCTCCGCCAAGGAATGTCATCCTGTTACGCGGGGTCAGCATCGTTCACAATGGAAGCGCAGTAGCTGACGTCGACGCGGGCTTACAAGTTTGAATAGACACCCGGAATCTTTGCTTCGGTGAGAGATTCGGGAAGGGGGGCTAGCCAACGCTTAGGTTTCCACTCCTTGGCATCCTCTCCCCAAAGTGCTTGATATCGGTTGCAGTTCATCAGTCCTGCGACCACGACGGTATCCTTCGGCACAAGTATCTCATGGATTAGCGATCCGTCGCGGCCGCGAATTGGATGGTCGAGAGGGAGTATAATATCCTTGCGAGTCCTAAGCATGCATGCGCAACGTCAGCACGAACGACACACGATTGGTACTGGACACGTACTCCCGGAATACCTGGGCCAGCGGTGCATCCCTGCAGAATGCTAAGACCGACATCACAATGA